TTGTTGCAAATATTTTATTTGTTCTCTTAATACTTATGAAGTACGTATGATGAAACTAACAAAGTTTCCTGGCAGAAAGCCTTCAGTATAACGTTGACTTTAGACATACATTGATTTACTCTTTAATTTGACTTTTTTTTTTTTTTAACTAGGTTGCGTTGACGGCTCATTGGTGCCCCCGTCGAGGTCTGTGCCGTATTTTATTGTCTTCTTAAGTTGTTTCACGGTAATTGACTTGTGTTATACGAAGAGTTTATCAGATAATTTTTGTGCATTGCAGCTTAAGGATCAAACAATCTTTCATGAAACTGTTCTGTTGGGATACATTAATTTCAATATGGAACTGATTTTAGTTGTGAGCTAACTACTAGTTTTAAGTGAATTAATTGGATTTCTATATTAAGATATCAAAGAGGCTTGAACAGTAGGTCTATACCTTTATCACAAAGTCAAGTAAACCTTTCTATCTCACCATAAGTATCACAAGAGACAGAGGTTCTCCTATTTATTTATCTGCCAAAATATTAAATTTTATGATGTGGCGACTCGACCGGCCATTCTAATGTCCTCTAATCACTTAATTTTAGTCATGTAGTATCATACTGAGATTGTGAGTAAGTGTAGTATTTGTGGGATGGCAGATGGAAAGGGGCGCCTCACTTTTCCCCGACCACCACTTTATCTTCGCTCTCGTCAGGGAAGTCAGTGTGGAAGGCTTCTTGAGAGATGAGGGCTCGGTTCTGCGTTCTGGCGACGGCCCAGTCCTGCTGGCCGAGAAGGTCGTCTACTCGGCCCTCGAAGGTGCGGTACCAATGGGCGTAGTCACGGTGGAGACGAGAGAGGTAGTAGGAGATCTCTACCACCCGGTCCGTCTTTCTCAGCCTCCACTCTACTTCGTAAGTGAAGTGGCCCTCTGAGAGCTTCTCTAGTTCGCGGGCGAGTGCAAGACGCGTGGGATGGTTGGAGCCCTTGATACTCGGGTGGTGTGAGCGAAGGACGACATGATGGTCATTCCAGAGAGGAGCCCACGTCCTCACGGCTGCCAACATGCCTCTCATCTCGTGGTCGGAGGAGTCCTGATGGCTTTGATACTCTATGGGAATGTTCTCGAAGAAGAAAGACCAGCGGGTGATGGCTTTGTCGGTCTTCCAGACACAGAAGCCGCCTATATGGTTGCCGGAGGCAGTAGTGGCAACATAGACAAGTTTGTGGGCGAGGGGTCGTCGGGTGGTGGTGGTGGTAGTGGTAGTAGTGGCAGCGCTGGTGGTGGTGTTAGGAGCTCCACTACTAGACACGGGCGTCTTCGCCTCCTTTGTCAGTTTGGTAGAAGGAACTTTGTTGGTGGTTTTGGGCAAGGGTTGTGTTGTGGGTGCGGGCGATGTGGGCATGGGGGTGGAGGCAGCTGGAGTAGCGGAGGTGGTATTAGCTTCCTTGGGAGTGGCTGACGTGGTGTTGATGCTGGTGGTGGAGTTCTCCACTACCGCTGGCGGGGTGGAGGGACTCGCCACTAATGTGACGGCTGCCACCTGGGCACCCACCGAGGCGGGTGATTCAGAAGTCCCAGCAGATTCTTCAGTTGTTGTGTTTTCCTCTCCTTCCTTATTTTCTTCATCCACCACCGCCTTTTCTAGTTTTGTGCTGTCATCGTCATCGTCGCCTTCATCGTCACTATCATCGTCGTCTCTGTTGCGGGTGGCGTTGGTGTCCTCCATCACTGCAAGGGTAACGGCTGACTCATGGAGTGTGACAATACCGCCAGCGGTACTACTGGTGACGCTGGCATTGGACGGAGGAGCCGCCTTGGCTGTGGTATTAGCCGCTTCCGCTGTGTAATTCTCCCGAGTGAGTGCTGCGCTTTGCAGGATGCTGACCACATCGACGTGTCCTTGCTTGGCGTGCTCCTGCGTGTGATGCTGGTGGTGATGCAGGGAGTGGTTACGAACAGGCACCGGCTGGAACACCACCAGGGTACGGTCGCTCACCTGCGCCAGCCGCAGAGACAGGTATGGTACCACGGCCAAGGCGACCAGTAGCAGGGTGCCCAACAGGACCCGCACTACCCACACGCCCACGCCCGCACGCCCGCGCTCCTCACCCACCACCGTGTATAACACATACTTCTTCTCTTTACCATCCACCACCTTCTCCTCCATCTGTAGGGAGAGAACAAGAGAAGAATCTGGTTACATGAGAAGAATCTGGTTACTGTTCAGGTATTGAACATGTCAACACCTGTTCGAGTGTTTGATTATATTTATGTATTAATACAACATGTTACAGGTGTTGCTTAATATATGTGCGTCACTTGTTAAATGGTGACACATTTGATAGGTGTTTTAATTAATGACAAATTTTTAAGAAATATTTTTTAATGTTAGCATAAGAATAATACGTGGTAATATATGCTGATATGTGTGTAACAGGTATTTCTTAACCTTGTAACACCCACACACACAGCATACATACACACACACACACACACACACGCGCGCGCGCGCGCGCGGGGCCAGGAGCTATGAATCGACCCCTGCAACCACAAATAGGTGAGTACACACACACACACGCACACACACACACACACACACACACACACACACACACACACACACACACACACACACACACACACACACACACACACCAACATATCAAGTCGGTCGTCTCCCACCAAGGCAGGGTGACCCAAAAAGAAAGAAAATCCGAAAAAGAAAATACTTTCATTATCATTCAACACTTTCATCTCACTCACACATAATCACTGTTTTTGCAGAGGTGCTCAGAATACAACAGTTTAGAAGCATATACGTATAAAGATACACAACATATCCCTCCAAACTGCCAATATCCCTAACTCCTCCTTTAAAGTGCAGGCATTGTACTTCCCATTTCCAGGACTCAACTCCGGCTATATAAAATAACCGGTCTCCCTGAATCCCTTCACTAAATATTACTCTGCTCACACTCCAACAGCTCGTCAAGTCCCAAATACCATTCGTCTCCATTCACTCCTATCTAACACGCTCACACACGCTTGCTGGAAGTCCAAGCCCCTCGCCCACACAACCCCTTTACTCCCTCCCTCCAACCCTTTCGAGGACGTCCCCTACCCCGCCTTCCTTCCCCTACAGATTTATACGCTCTCCATGTCATTTTACTTTGATCCATTCTCTCTAAATGACCAAACCACCTCAACAACCCCTCTTCAGCCCTCTGACTAATGCTTTTATTAACTCCACACCTTCTCCTAATTTCCACACTCCGAATTTTCTGCATAATATTTACACCACACATTGCCCTTAGACAATTCACGGGGGATAGAAATCTTCAGCTCAACTACTTTCACACGTCTCCGTGCATCATCAGGAACTATGCAATGCTGGAATGAGGGGAAGTTTTCTCAGAGTAGGGCAGCGTGGTGACAACAGCCAGCTCCAATTTATTAGGCACAACTGGTTGTTAATACAAATATTTAATAAGCCAATCACATGACAGCATCTCAATGCCTTAAAGCATGCAAACTTGATTAAGAGTTCAGTTCGAACTCAACATCAAAATGGGAAAGGAATGTAATCCAAGTGACTTTGATCATGGAAAGATTATTGGTGTGAGTCAGGTTGGCTGGAGTATCTCAGAAACTGCTGCTCTGATTTTCATGCACAGTATCTCTAGAGTTTACAGAGAATGGTGTGAAAAGCACAAAAAACCTAGTGGGCGGCAGTCCTGTGGGCGAAAATCCTTGATAACGGGAGAGGTCAGAGAAGAACAACCAGACTGGTTTAAACTGACAGGAAAATAATACAACCATGCGTTACAACAGCGATATGCAGAAGAGCGTCTTTGAATGTACAATCCATCAAACCTGGATGGTCTACAGCAGCAGAAGACCACACTGGGTTTCACTCCTGTCAGCTACTAAATAGAGAATGGAAGGCAATTAGATTCGATTTGAGGAAGGGCAGGGTAGACGCAGTTACTTGGATCAATAGAGCTTAAGCGGCTTCGAGGCACCAGCCAGGGAGAGTGAAGCAGAACGGAAATTCACGCAATGTACCAAACCCAACAGAAAATATGACCTGTCAGGCATTTTTCAGCGTTGATTTAACAACGCTACAAAACCAGCATTACCATTACTAGTTCTGTCCTGTACAATTACATTCTGGGACCAAATCAGGAAAACTTTCCTAAGGTGCTCGCAGAATTAAGAGATGAAATAGGGTTTCATCAAAATTTTAGTGCTGCTTGAAAAACGTAAAGCCTTTTACTGTGAAGGTTTTTAGAGAAAGAGAGAAGTAGAAGAGCGTCAGGGAATGTCATTCCCCGAGCACTCCCCCCCAAATCAGGACTGTGTACGAAGTGTATCCCCCCAAGTAGGTTGTGCATTTTTTTGGTTTAAATAATAATAATAAAAATAAAAAAAAAATAATATAATAATAATAAAAATAAAAATAAAAATAATAAAATAAAATGGGGTAAAAAAATTTATTGTAGGAAAATTCCTCCTTGAAAATGAGAAGTGTGTCGCATGCTCCATCTCCCTGCTTAAAAAATAATAAAATTTACTACCAAACTGTTAAGACTTTTGGGAACCCCTGGTTTCCCAAAACCCCCAAAACCTCTCAGTGACCCCAGGGTTGACTGAACCCCCATCCGTGACCCCGGGGGTTGACTGAACCCCACACTATCAGTGACCCCAAGGGGTTTGGACTGAACCTCCTACATCATCAGTGAGCCCAGAGGTTACTGAACCCCCTAACTCACCCTTTGGCCCAGGGTTGACTGAAACCTCCTACACCATCAGTGACCCCAGAGGTTGAGAACCTCCTACATCGTCAGTGACCCCGGGGGTTTTGACTAACCCCTACACTCATCGGGGCCCAGAGGTTGATGAATCTAACTCATCGTGACCCCAAGGTTTGATGAACCTCCACACTCTCAGTGAGCCGGGTTGACTGAACCTTACACTCTCATGAGCCCAGAGGTTGACGAACCCCCCCTACACCGTCAGTGCCCCCGGGGTTGATGAACCTACACCATCAGTGACCCCAGAGGTTGATAAACCCCTCCTACACTCTCAGTGACCCCAGAGGTTGACTGAACCCCTACATCATATGAGCCCAAGGTTGACTGAACCCCCTACACTATCAGTGACCCCCGGGGTTTGACTGAACCTCCTCCTCATCGGAGCCCGGGTTGACTGAACCCCCAACTCTTCAGTGACCCCAGAGGTTGATGAACCTCCTACACTCATCAGTGAGCCCAGAGGTTGACTAAACTCCTAACTCACAGTGACCCCAAAGGGGTTGACTGAACCTCTCACTTCGTGAGCCCAGAGGTTGACTGAACCTCCTACCTCATCGTGAGCCCAGGGTTTGACTAAACCCTCCTACATACGTGACCCCAGGGGTTGACTGAACCCCCTCATCATCAGTGACCCCAGGGTTGACTAACCCCACATCACAGTGAGCCCAGAGGTTGACGAACCCCCACACCATCGTGAGCCGGGTTTGACTGCCCTCCTACACCATCAGTGACCCCCAGGGGTTGACTGAACCCCCTACATCATCTGACCCAGGGGTTGACAAAACCCCTCATATTGACCCCAGAGGTTGACTAAACCCCTCCCCCCCCATCAGTAGTCCAAGGTTGACTGAACCCCACACTCTCGTGAGCCCAAGGTTGACGAACCTCCTACATCATCAGTGATCCAGAGTTGATGACCCCCAACTCATCATGACCCCAGAGGTTGACTGAACCCCCTACACTCTCAGTGAGCCAGGGTTGACTGAACCTCCTACACTCATCAGTGACCCCAGAGGTTAAATGAACCTCCTCATTTCCGGAAGCCCGAGGTTGACTGAACCCTCCTACACTCATAAGGAGCCCGAGGTTGACTGAACCTCCTACACTCTCATGAGCCCAGGGTTGTAAAACCTCCTCCTCATCATGACCCCGGGGTTGACTGAACCCCCAATATCATCGGAGCCCAGAGGTGATGAACCTCCAACACTATCAGTGACCCCAGGGTTACTGAACCCCAATATCATAGTGACCCAGGGGTTGACTGAACCCCCACATCATCGTGAGCCCAAGGTTGACTGAACCCCCTACATCTCAGTGACCCCGGGGTTGATAAAACCTCTAATCATCGTGAGCCAGGGGTTTTACTGAACCCCTACCTCACAGTGAGCCCAGGGTTGCTGAACCTCCTCCACTCATCAGTGACCCCAGGGGTTTTGACTGAACCCTACACTATCATGAGCCCAGGGGTTGATAAACCCTCTACACTCATCAGTGACCCCAGAGGTTGACTAACCCTCACTCTTCGTGGGCCAGGGGGTTGATAAACCCCCTTTTAACTCACGTGAGCCCAGAGGTTGACTAAACCCCAATACTCATCGGAGCCAGAGGTTGATAAACCTCTAACTCACATGAGCAGAGGTTGACTGACCTCCAATCTCATCAGTGGCCCAGAGGTTGTGAACCTCCACACTCATCAGTGAGCCAGAGGTTGACTGAACCTCCTACCTATCAGGAGCCCGGGTTGACTAAAACCCCAACACTCATCGTGAGCCCAGGGTTGACTGAACCCCCAAATATCTCGTGAGCCCAGATGACTGAACCCCCTACCTCATAGGGGCCCCAGAGGTTGACGGGAACCCCTACATCTCGTGACCCAAGGGGTTGGGGAACCTCCAATATCATCGTGAGCCAGGGTTTGACTGAACCCCCACACTCATCAGGGGCCCAGGGTTGACTAAACCTCCTACACTCTCATGAGCCCAGGGTTGCTAAACCCCCTACTATCATGACCCAGAGGTTGACTGAACCTCCTACACTATCGTGACCCCGGGTTTGACTGAACCTCCTCACTATCAGTGGCCCAGGGGTTTGACGAACCTTAATCATCAGTGACCCAGAGGTTGACGAACCTCCACATCATCAGTGACCCCAGAGGTTGACTGAACCTCTACATCATCAGTGACCCCGAGGTTGTGACCCCCTACATATCAGTGAGCCGAGTTACTGAACCCCAAATCTCATGACCCCAGGGGTTTGACTGAACCTCCAAACCATCAGTGAGCCCGAGGCTGACTGAACCCCCCAATTACTATCAGGAGCCCAGAGGTTGACTGAATCCACACTCTCATGACCC